TCCCGTGGTAACTCAGTATCAATCTCATCGTCCGGTTGGATCTGACTTGCCATGTGAGGCACCAAAGGCCACAGAAAGCCTCTGCAAGTAGCATTTGTGCCACATGCTGCTCATCGGGTAGCCTTAACATCGGTGACGGCAGTGGCGGTCAATGAAAGCGTGAAGCTTGGCAGTTTTATCAGCCATCATCATCTGCTACTTTTGTTGAATTTGGAAAATCAGCTAAATAAAGTCTCACGGATGGTGGGCTGGGGGACATTTTGTTTGTGAATACCACACCCTTTCTGTCGTTAATCTTTTAAGCTACTCTTCTTTTGGCTTGGCCACAAGGAATGAAAAAGAGTAGCCAACTGATCAACAGAAGGAATTGTGATGAGAAGTGGATTTAATGAAAGAACAACCATGACATTAACTACTCTTCTAACAGTCCACTCACCACCATCCCACCTCACAGTCCTAGGTGAGGTTACCAAATGACTGCCTGGCAAAGACCAAGATAAAGGCCTTAGTCAGTAGCTTGTCAACCGACCCAAAGACAAGACGAACCAGACCTGTACGACCTTGTTCAGAGACAATGGGGATTTATTTTAATGATAGCTCTCTCCCTCTCTCTCACCTTCCAATGAGTGCCCTATTGTTATAGTGGGGTGGAGTGGAAGCGTAGGAGAGTGTTGCGTGGTTAGAAAGCGAGGCGTGCAGTTGAAAGGGTGGACAACAAGGCGACAATCAACATTAATTGTAGGCAAACGCAATACATGCTGTGATAGCGCGATCATTGCAACATACTCGTGAACAATTGATGAGATTAAGGGTCAGTCAAGTTTCTACGAGTAGTCGGATTTCGTCAACTTTATTGGCTTATTTTACCTCCTCACAGTGATTCAAGCGAAAGGGAAACAGGTAATCGTGTATTCCGTTAGCCCTAGCCGTCGTATACACCTCTCAAGAAGGGGCTGTCATGCAGTCCGTGTATCGGTGGTGGGACTGATTCCATCATCGTGTCTCGCTTTTGATAAGGTCTACCGGTCTCTTCCAATACAAATGACAAGGCTGAAAAGTGGCTGGAAGCAGTCCACTGCACGAATTGGAAGCATTTATACCTACATTCAGATCTCACACTGTCTGGTTACGTGTGGAGATGCACTGCATTTGAAAGCCAAGATTAAAAAGTTGACGTCAATATGTGAGAAATGTGAACATCTGTCACGTCCATGGCCAAATACGATTGTACACGCATGCATAGTTGTTCATGAGGAAGGAGTGTTGATTAGCTACCCCCTCACAGAGGATACGGTAGCCCTCTTGCCATACAGCTTAACTGAGACATTGCCATCAAGGCTGACACGTGCCATCAAATAGATGTCGCTTTTGAACAAGCTCATTTACACAACTTCCCTTTTGTAAAGTGGGAAGAAGGAGGACAGACATAAATGCGGCTTCAAAGCGTTATAAACAGTTGTAGCCAGTGTAATATAGAGGGGCACATGACAGGCATTGAAGGCTGTAGAAGGTCACGACAAGTAGCATTTGTGGTACTTGAGGCATGTCGAGTATCCTCAACACCTTTCACAACAGCAGCGGTGAACGAAAGTATGAAGCATGGCAGCATCACCATCTATCCATTCAATAAGTGATCAGGAGGTGTCTATGACCACTGACTGTGTGTCAGTAATACTGCTGACTGTTCATTGCATCCGATAGCACAGCAGTTACCTCTATGTGAGTATTTTGCGAAATCGTCGAACGCCTGCCTCATCCTGGCCGTTGCATCGACGGCACGAGTCTCAGTGTTAAGTAAGCTCACTCTAGAAACCAGGGCAATAGGCGCGGTGAAACTGGCTGATCTGGAAGGGTTTATTCATCCAGGCAAACGTATGAGGCGTCCACAACTGACAAACATCTGCCGTGGCACACAATCCGCCCATCTCTCACCACCGCCATCGTAACACGACATCTTTAGCCCACTGCAGGAGCAAGAGTAGGAGACTGGTAGCTCCTCTTCATGCCTAATGCATACATATACAACATTA